TTCACACACACACACACACACACACACACACACACACACGCACACACACACACACACAGGCATACATATATGCCCCTACACATGACAGCATATGTGGCGGAGGGCCAATTTCATCAGACTGACATTTATAATTAAAATATCTCAAGATAAGTGGATGGCAAGGCTGCCAATTAAGCATTTTCTGTAGTATCTGTGGGAAAAAATACAGTCAGTGCCTTGCAAAAGTATTAACACCCCACCCCCCCACATTTGAAAACGGCATGCTTCTTTTTTTTTCCCTTTTAAAACTCACATCAAACTGTTCAGTTTGAAACGTTCAGTAAAGTGAGTGCTGGCATCCTCCATTCAATCCCCTCCTTCAAACACACACACACACACACACACACACACTCCCAATTTGGAAACAGATGTTGTTTGTCAGATCCTATCATTACTGGTTAATTAAGCAGACATCTTTTCCTTCTTTTCTCCTATCTGTCACTCTTGTATTCATGCAGATTGCCCTGCCTTTGTTTCCCCACAAAGATGAAGGCTTGTGCATAAATGCCATTTTTCATTTTCTGCAATGGTTAAATAAATCTGCGCTTACACAGACATACTCGGGGCAAGCGCTGAGCATTATAACAAATATATATGAAAAAATGTCCAAGACCACACTGGATTTTTTTTAATAAATAAAACTAATACAGTTATAGCTACGAAAGTACCATCTGTTTAAGTCAGTGTATGTTTGTACTGTACACTATCAATGGATTTCGCACCTTTTACTACTGTGTTTACAGAAAATATGCATAAGCATTTACAGAAACAAAATGTGACATAAGAAAATGCAGTAGGGAGGAGAATAAGAAATGAAAATGCTTAACTAGGGGAAAATTGCTAGTTAATTAACTAGTATTCTTTGAGACACTGTGTTTGAAGTGCTCAACTGCTCGTAGGACTGAAAAACAAAGAACATGTATGTGGTTAAATTAATGCAAAATAGATTCCGTGCAATTTCTAAGTAACTAATCAAATAAGCAAATTCGTGACATGACCATGTGAAGTCCTCGTCAGATTTCCTTGCTTCAGTTGCAACACAAAACTGGGAAAGCATGCATCATCAGGATCTTGTGGAGTCCATGCCAGCTCGAGTGCACGTTGACAGCAGAAGAAATTAAATAAAATTGATTTTTCAAATGTTACCACTTACAGTATATTGTCATGCTGATAACATTGAAAAATGTAACAAAGAAACGTTACAAAATTTTAATAATATAAAATAGAAGCTCTCACAAGAATTCTTAGAGCAGATAGTGAAATAAAAAATCTTAAAAATAATCTTTTCAGAAAAGACATGAGTCCAGAAACAAGATGTTGCTTGGTTGCTTTTGTTTTTCTTAGTTGTGGAAGCAAGTGTGAAAGGTCCTGGTGTGGTATGTGGTGATTTTTAGAGCCGCTATGTGTGCCCTGTTAGTGGGGTCAGAGGTTGGGAACGTGCCCTGTTAACCCCTCGACCAGTCTGGCCCCGAAGTCTGCCAAGGGATTCTGGGAGCCCGGAGTATTTATGACCAGCCCTAGCTAACCTCTGCTACCCAAAACCCCTTCAGAGGCTCCCCCACAACCCTCACCTACAACACACATTCAACACCAGATTTGACCCCTTTTTTGTTGTTTGTTTGTTTTTTGGGTAGATTTTTTTTTTTTTTTGGATTGCATAATTGACGATGAATCCAATAGATACAGAAAGTGAATATCAGCACATCATGATTGTAGGCAGTTCTGTAATGAACAAATGGCTCATGTTGTTTTGGGTTGAAGGTAATGTTGTTGTGATATAAACTGAATCTCTGTGTAGACAAGCGGCTGTTCTCACACACGTGGCATTCAGTCGTTGATGTATTGCTGCTCAAACATTTCAGCATGTCAGTGATTCGATGCTGCACATCTGGTTTCCTAATTTTCCTCCCCCTCTCCCTCTGTGTCCTGACACTGTTGTGTTTTTGTAAGACGGAGCGGGACGGAGGTGAGATGGACAAGAGGAAATACTGATGAGTGATGGTTCTGAATCTGCTTCTCAGCCTTTGTTTCTGTCTGTGGTCAACAGGCTGTCCAGTAATGAATATTACTTACTATTCAAGTGTTAAATATCAAATATACTCAGTTTTCTTCTAAAGTGTGACGATACCAACTTCTAGGCATCTCAATAACATTTCTTAGAGTTTCTTAGAATCCTCAAAGAAATGGCAAGATGATTCAAAATGATCAGAATTTAATGTTTGTAAATACCTATTCATTCATTAATGCATATTTCTTTTTTCTATATAATTATAGTAATAGTAAGCAAAACTATGGCATATTTTATTTGGGATGTTTGGAATTCTTAATATTTTACAATAATATAATATATAATAATATAATATTTTACAATATTACTGTTTTTATTTTTGATCAAATATATAGATAGATAGATAGATAGATAGATAGATAGATGGATAGACGGATAGACGGATAGATAGATAGATAGATGATAGATAGATAGATAGATGATAGATAGATAGATAGATAGATAGATAGATAGATAGATGATAGATATATGTATAGATGATAGACAGATAGATAGATAGATAGATATATAGATGATAGATAGATAGATAGATGATAGATAGATAGATGATTGATAGATAGATAGATAGATAGATAGATAGATAGATAGACAGATAGATAGATAGATAGATAGATAGATAGATAGATAGATGATAGATAGATAGATAGATAGATAGATAGATGATTCTATTTTTTTCTTTTTTAAAATGTAATGTGATGGCAAAGGTACATTTACTCCAGTCTTCAGTGTCACATGATCTTTCAGAAATCATTCTAATATGCTGATTTGGTACTTCAGAAACATTTCATATTATTATGAATGTTGAAAAAAGTTTTGGCTATTTAATATTTTTGTGGAAACCGTGATTCACTACAATTTAAAAGTTTAGGAAATTAATATTCAGCGAGGATGCATTTAAATTGATCAAAAGTGACAGTAAAGATCTTTATAATGTTACAAAAGATTTATATTTCAAATAAATACTATTCTTTTGAACTTTCAAGAAGTTTTTTGACACATTTTAATCCAGTTTGTCCAGAATTTAGTATACGATAGTGCATTTAATTTTTGGTTACTCAACTAACTACATAGTTACTCATCATCCAAATATTTATTTATGGAATAATTTCACATAACCTATCTATATGTCAATGAATAAGAGTTGTTGTTTTTTATAAAACATTTTTTTTTTATGAAAAGCTGTAGCATTTACAATTTTCCCAGTGAATTTTGATTATTTTTAATCAATTTAGTTCCAAATATGTATCACTAGTCCACTCTGAAGACCTTACTCTAGTTAACCTAAATATCACAACAGTGCAAAACTTACATTGTTATTATTAAACTTTTCCTTATGACACAACAGATGCGGAAGGGTGTTGTGCTGAAGTTGCAAGGTTTTCCAGGAGTCCTAATTAATTATGCAAGATGGGTGTAATTATGATGCAATGAATGGATCCATGGCAGAAGGTGCGAGGCAGTGAGGCTTAGAGATTTGCATGCTAAGTGAGTGGGGGAGTGACTAATGCATGTTAATGCTGCGTGGCCGATGTGCTTTCATTTGCCTGCTTGCAGCTGTGCTCTATGATTTCATTAAGGGCTCAAATGTTTATCATGTAGTTAAAGTGAAAAGAATGGTACGTGGAGCTTGGGTCGGGCATGAAACGGCACACAAAACCTTGACAAGTGTGTTGTAAGATACACTTACAGAGAGAGACAGCGGTTCAGATGCAGTGTTTATGGAGTGTCCTTTGTTAAAAAGATTTAAAAGTACAACTACAGCCAATTAATTGGTCGTCTTGGTTCAGTTTATGAAACTGTATCCACAATTTTTTTTTTTTTTTTCAGGTTCTTTACAGCAAAACTGCTGGAGCATTATTGCTTTTTATATATTGGGGTTATTCCTTATTAAAACAGCTATTAATATGTGACCATGTTTTTGCATCTAAATCTAATTTTATTAATCCGAGTTATGGAATGAATTACTGTTACGGCTATCTAGTAACAGTTAAACACAGTTTTGAAGTACAAGAGGTCAGCCTTGCTGATTCGATATGGAATGACAATTTGACATGCATTCGAAATGCAAGAAGTACTGAGAAACTATACTTAAGGGAAAGGATGGGTTCTGTGTCAAAAAAGTTTCCAGGCAGCAACAAAAGATTGTTTATTAAGAGAATAAATCATGATGTTCTGTGAAATATGTAGGCCTACTTTAGTTGAATTCAAAGTTTAAATATAGTTCAATCATGACAACTCTCGGAAGATTTTAGCATGGTGATGGATATGACGATATTAATGTATTTGGTCTTGGCGGAATAGATCTGCTATGCTGCTGCTGCTGTTGGTTATTGCTGTATTTGTAGATTATTGCTGCTGCTGCTGCTGCAAGCAAGTACAGGAACTTGCTACTGCCAATGCATAAGCCGATACGGTGCTGTGAGTATTTAAGACATACTGCTGCTGCACAAATAGCATATAAAATAACCCCGCAGATCTATACAGGTGGAGCTGGGGGAGGTGGAGGGTTTCAGAGGAACTCTCAAGCGAATGCTAATCAGCCATTTAAATGTACGTGAACAACGTGAACCAATCAGCTTGTGACAAGTCGTTTAGTGCTAAGAATATCATTAGTTAAGTTAAGGATCAGCCTGCGCCATCTAGACACTTTTGATGTAATCTAACGAACTGGTTTGCAAACGTTTGTTTGCAATTCAGTTTGATTCATCCAGACAGTTCACTCATGCACGCACTTTCCAACAGTTTCATTCAAACAATATAGGAAGTGTTTTCTCCTCCCTTTTAAAAGTAGATAGAAATGTGTTTGTTTGTGATAGACTAAATGAAGCAGGCCATTCCTTCCTTGAATGAAACCTATGTGGCTTGTCTGTTTCTTTGTGTGTGTTTCCCACAGATTTTTCTTGAAGTTTTTCCTAAAGTGCAATCAAAATTGTCTGAAGACAGCAGGGAACCCCCGAGACATGAGAAGATTTCAGGTATCGATCATGCATATGCAAAGAAAATGATTTCGCAAAATGCAGAGATGTTGTAGAACCCTCAGACTTTATTCCTTTTTGCTGAAGAAAAAAAATCTAGTTTTATTTCCAGTAAAAACACCCAAACATCCTTAAAACAGTGTATCTTTTGTCTTTTAAAGATTGAACAAGACAAAACAACTGTATATTCAAGACACTGAAAAAAATTAATATTGTATGCAATTTCTTAAGGATTTTTTTTTTTACTGCAAAACAAGACAAATACTCTAAATATTAAGAATAGGTTTTGTTTGCAGTTTAGTGGTAGCTTTTCTCATGTATTTCTGGTAACATATACAGCAGTTCTTTTGGGGCCGATTGTGTCTCCGTGTAGTTTTAGATGAACAGAGTGTGTGATTTATATTAAGTGTTTAAATACAATATCTCATAAGAGAGAGGGAGTGATCAGAATAAAAAAAAAAAAGCTGAAGAAGCAAGGATCATCAGGAAATCAGCCAAGGTGCTTCAGGAAGTTGAGTGATGGGCTCCAGATGGGAAAGGTCAGGCTCTGTGACCCAGGAAGTGCTCACTGGGGACCCTCCTGCTCTACTTCCTCCCTCTTGTCTTTCACTACTGGAGCAACTATCTGACATTTCCTCCCTCACTCTTCATTTCCATGCTGTCCTTCCTTATAAATTTTTGTGCATTTATTTACATATGGAATGTAATTGAGTGTGACATTTCTACTTTTGGAGCATCTTTGCAGCATCCCTCGTTTCTATCCCACATTTCTCTGTGTTGTGTCTTTAGCTCTGCAGTCTTTTGCACATGTGAGCACTGATATTCTCAGTTGCATCATATTATATTAACTAACTTTGTTCATCTCTGATTCTTTATATTAACATTCAATTGAATCCACATTAGTATGTGGTTTGAAACCCACTTAAAACAGTATTTTTGGAAATGTGTCTGAGTTTGAAAGGCCACATTGGATGTCAAGTAGGTTTTTAATAATGGGCATACATGAGCTTGTCAATGTTTTTTTAACCATCAGGAGAAATCATGTCAAATTCATTGATGCCTTTTTGGTCGAGACTTGCGTTGTGCAAGACGAATGATGAACCCAAGCAGCTACTGATCATTTCTAAACATGTTGAAAAAATTATGTTATCCAAAGCTATGGCAGCAATAAGTAATGCAACTCTTACTCCATGTTTAAAAGTCAATAGTACAATAACGGTTTATGCATATATGAATTTAGTTCCTATATGAGATGTCAGGATGAACAAAAGTCATCAATGTGGCAAGTAATGTAGATACTGCATATTTTTAAAGTAAAACTGAGATCTGGATACTTTTGTCCGCTGATAAAAAGAAGAAAAAGAGAAGGCATAAATCAGGTGGAAAGATGGGAAAAAGAGTGAGAGTGTAAATGAGATTATTAGGAAAAGAATAAATGTGACCCTGGAGCACAAAACCAGTCATAAGGGTCAATTTTTCAAAATTGAGATGTATGCATCATCTGAAGCTGAATAAATAATTTTTCCATTGATGTATGGTTTGTTAGGATAGGACAATATTTGAAAATCTGGAATCTGAGGGTGCAAAAAAATCTAAATATTGAGAAAATCATCTTTAAAGTTGTTCAAATGAAGTTCTTAGCAATGCATATTACTAATCACAAATTAAGTTTTGATATATTTACGGTAGGAGATTTACAAAATATCTTCATGGAACATGATCTTTACTTAATATCCTAATGATTTTTGGCATAAAAGAAAAATTTATAATTTTGACCCATACAATGTATTGTTGGCTATTGCTACAAATATACCCCAGCGACTTAACACTGCTTTTGTGCTCCACAGTCACAAATGATTCAACCAGAGCTATAAAACTGTGAATTTTAAATCAGCAGCAGTAGAAGTTTCTAAAGATGACACTGCAAGGATATCGTTTAAGGAGTTTTTAAAGCACTACATGAATCTCCTCCTTCAAACTCTTTTTGTTATCAATAAATCTTTCTTTGCATTCCGATAGGTGGTTCTGTCCACTACAGTCAGTGTGGACGGTCCCGTCCTAGCCATTTCTGACAACATGTTTGTGCACAACAACTCCAAACACGGACGCCGCTCTCGTAGAACGGATTCGAACGAGATGGTGGAGACTTGCATGGAATATGGTGAGATTCACAAGTAATGGCATTGAAATGACATTAAAAAAAGAAGAGGTTTGCATTAATCCACAGTTATATACAAGGGGAGGAAGGTTTAAACCAAGAAGTTGGAAAATGAGCTTGTTCTCTTGAAAGAGTAGAATAGCTCTGGGGTCACTGAGGGATGCTTCTTAGACCCCGAGTAATAATTTCGTGCATCTTTAATGCCATTTTCATTTTTGTCGTTTCTCCACTACAGCTGCTCCCTGTATCAAAGCCATCAGCCCCAGTGAAGGCTGGACTACAGGCGGGGCTATGGTGATTGTGATCGGGGAAAACTTCTTCGACGGTCTGCAGGTGGTGTTCGGGAGCATGCTAGTGTGGAGCGAGGTATGCATTGGTAGAGTATATCGAAGCAAGCTTTGACTTGCAATAAGGAAAGCTTTTGTAATATTTTAAGTTTGAGTACCAACAGTCTGTAACAATTAACCTTCAGAGCTTGTCGTTATTCCTGCAGTTAATCACTCCTCATGCAATCCGAGTTCAAACTCCTCCTCGACACATTCCAGGGGTTGTAGAAGTCACACTGTCTTACAAATCTAAGCAGTTCTGTAAAGGAGCCCCGGGCCGCTTCATTTATACAGGTGAACACAAACCCAGACAAAGCGTGTGTTATTAAACTAGTTCCTCTCCATGTTTAATGTCCCATGTTCGGTTTGTAGACTGACTTCTTCAAGAGTGGAAGCACTGTGGCTCTTTGCCGCTTTCAGAACACCAAAAACATTGCTATGTTTGTCATCTTCTGGCTCATCCGATAGAAGTTTGGAGTTTGGCTGAACAATGCAAAATGGCAGAGAGCTTGGAAGAACTTTTTGGAAACAATTATTATTTGTGACCCTGGAGCACAAAACCAGTCATAAGGGTCAATTTTTCGAAATTGAGATTTCTGCATCATATGAAAGCGGAATACATAAGCTTTCCATTGATGTATGGTTTGTTAGGATAGGACAATATTTGAAAATCTGGAATCTGAGGGTGCAAAAAAATCTAAATATTGAGAAAATCATCTTTAAAGTTGTCCAAATGAAGTTCTTAGCAATGCATACTATTAATCAAAAATTAAGTTTTGATATATTTACGGTAGGAAATGTACAAAATATCTTCATGGAACATGATCTTTACTTAATATCCTAATGATTTTTGGCATAAAAGAAAAATCTATAATTTTGACCCATACAATGTATTGTTGGCTATTGCTACAAATATACCCCAGCGACTTAAGACTGCTTTTGTGCTGCAGCGTCACATTTTTCCAATTCTGTTTGGTGCCACTACTGAAGAAGACATACTTCATCTTTAACAATTTGTGTACGCAAGACTAATAATAATACTGAGGACGAGAGTGTTTCCGTTTCCTGACCTGATTCCGTTTTATGAACTACATACAATGGGATTTATGCAGACAGTGGAATATGTAGAGGGATGTTATAAAGACAAATGGATTCTCACTTAGTATGATTATCTCTAGCGCTGAATGAGCCAACTATTGACTACGGCTTCCAGAGACTTCAAAAGCTGATTCCTCGACATCCTGGTGACCCCGAAAAATTGGCAAAGGTTAATACTGCTACATGCATATAACCGTTAATAAATAAAAAGTACACACAAACCTTTTTTTTTACTCTCTCTGACATTTTCTGTGTCTTAGGAAATGTTACTTAAAAGAGCAGCAGAAGTTGTTGAATCACTCTATGGAAATACCACCAGCAATCAGGTAACCACTGAAGTGCAGTAGATATAGAATACCGTCTGTGGCATGGGAAGCAAATATTGTATGCGTTAAACGTACAATGGAGTCCAAATGTCTCAGATGCTTTTATTTAACACATTCATTTTTTTTTCCATTTCATATGACATTATCAGCACAGTAGTTTGGGTAATAACTGAACTAAAAGACTTCTGAAAACATGAATTCCATTATTTGTTTTTAAATTTAGTTCCCCTGTGTCACAAGTTTTCCTTGATGAACTCAAGATGAATATTATTCAACATAAAATAAAAAAATATTCCATAGTGCATCATTTGTGCTTCAGTGGAAGCAAAGAAATTTGGTCAGTGAAACAAATTAGCTTATTTGTAAGTTTATAGCTACATGTTTCCAACAACATATATTTAATTACTTAAAGGGATAGTGCACTCAAAAATGAAAATTCTGTCATCATTTGCTGACCCTCAAGTTGTTCTAAACGTGTGCGAGTTTCTTTATTCTTTTGATTATAAAAGAAGATATTTGGAAGAATGTTGATAACCAAACAGTTCATGAAAGCCATTGACTTTCAATACTATAGAAGTCAATGGCTACCGTAAACTGCTTGGTTACCAACATTCTTCAAAATATCTTCTTTTGTTTATCAACTTGAGGGTGAGGAAATAGGTAAACTATCCCTTTAACATGAGTCATATCACCCAATAGTTTTTCCTGCCGTGCACCAAAACTTTTCTTTGATATTGTGTTGGTGCAGGACATGTTGCTGAAACGGGCTGCAGATATAGCCGAGGCTTTGTACAGCGTGCCACGACCTCACAGTCAGCTGCAGGCCATGCCGAGTTCCCCGGTCCATGGCAGCGTCATGGGCCTCAGCTCTTATCCCACTCAGCTGGCTGTAAGCATGGGAGAACCTGGGCAAACCAGCAGCCAAGGTTAGGACCCTCAGACAAGCACCCTACGATTCAGAAGTCTTTGTCTTATTCAGTGTTATAGATAACCGTGGATGCACAATCTCATCTCAACACATTTATTAGAATGGTTATGCTTGGCTTTTCATATGAACACCAACCTTTGTGAGATTGATTCCATTTGAACAGTTTTAAGAGTTGAATATTTATTTTTTAAATAGTAATAATAGTAGTGCCGGACAAAGTGTACAAATCAAGTACTTGAATAAAAGCACAGATACCATAATAAAGAAATAATAAATTTTACTCAAGTAAGTGCAAAAGAACTTGGTTCTTTTTAATGTGGAGGGGTGTTGTAAGTAAGTTTTGCAAAATAAAAATACTCTCAAATAAAATTACCTCAGTACAATAACAAAGTTGAATTACGATCATTCACCCTTGGATTATAATAATCCTTGAATTTATGTTATGCTGAATATTAAAGGTTTATGTTGTAACCTCCAGAATAGAAGCAGAGGTTATGTTGTTGTGTTCTTATTTAATTGTTAGAAGATATTATCAAATAACTGCATTCAAACATCTTAATTATTTACCATAACCTATTGAATGATAATACATTAATACATAGGCTTATACAATTAATCTGAATTCATAGTCAGAATTTATGCTATGACATCCCTTTAATTAATAAAAAATATATGAATAAATGAATTAAATCTAAATTTAATGTTTAGATGATTTCCAATCTCCAATAATTTAGCTTTTTTCCCATTTATTTCCATAATAAGTCTTAAAATAAAATTTTCTCACATTTTTCATGCCATTTAAATACTATCGTTAAAGTAAACTTTCAGTGAAACTGCCCGTTTTATATAACTTCAGTGTAACTACTTTTTTTGTGTAAATAATTAACATAAAGGTAATTGTTAAAGTTAATTAAATAGCTAATGCTATTTAATTAAACATGTTTTTCCTTGTGTTTAATGTGGGTTACAAGTCTCACTCTCTAACCATTAGTCCACGACTGCCCCTGACCGTCCAGCTGTGTTAGTATTGTGATTTCTCCTGTTTTTATTCAAGGTTACACCCGCAACCCAAGCGGTTTGTCCCCGCGGGGCTACCCTTCAGCATCGACCCCTCAGCAGTCCTGCTATGGATCCAATGGAGGCATGAATGTGAGTTACGGGGCAGTGCCCATGAGTAGTCTGGGTGTTTCAGGGTCACCTGGCTTTAACAGTGCCTCCCCAAACAGCTCTCCTTATGCTAGTGAGTTTCAGCTTTGTTGTCTTTTACTCACAGTTGCTTCTGCTGAAAATACAGTATGCATTTTGACAATCAAAGAAGTCTTTTGTTCTAATCAAAACACTCTTTTTTTCCAGTCATGCCCTCTAGCCCCACTGTACCAGGCTCCAGTTCCTCATCCTCCCTCCTGTCCTTCACATCTTTCCCATCCTCGACCAAACAAAAAAGTGCCTTTGCTCCTGTCCTGAGACCACAGGGTTCTCCATCACCTGTCTGCCAAACCTCAGGAGGCCCCAGCTTTAGAGGTACGACTGTTGTTCACAGATCTTCTTCATAACGTTTCCAAAAATGCTTTTTTTTTCAAGCTCCTGTAGACCCTCAGCTCTTTAGTTTTCCATAAAACGTTTTGGTAGCACTTTAGAATTGGGAACACTTATTCACTATTAACTACAACTTTTCCCTCAATAAATTCCTAATTTGCTGCGTATTAATAGGTATTATTGTAGTTATTGGGTAGGATTAGGGATGTAGAATAAGGCATTAATATGTGCTTAATTACTACTAATAAATGGCTAATATTCTAGTAATATGCATGCTAATAAGCGACCCTAAATTACCAAAGTTTTGGTAAGAAGGGTTTAGTTTAGGGACTAATTCTCACTGTTAACTAGTTGCTAATTAGCATGCATATTACTAGCATATTGGCTGTTTACATTTTGGGGTGAACTTTTCCTTTAAATGTCATGTACAAGTATAACATTTTGTGTGTCAACAGTAACTCGATACAGGCATAACATAGTAACTGTTTATTGAATCATCTCTTTGATATAGCTATGTTGTCAGCTATGTATTATTAAACAATTTGAACCTTCATCTTCATCGTCGTGTGTATCTACAACCTTGTGTGACAAGCTACACATTACTGTTATTGAATATAACCTCTTTTATTTTTTAGCATGCATATTACTAGCATATTGGCTGTTTATTAGTACTTATAAAGCACATATTAATGCCTTATTCTACATCCTTTTATCCACCCTTAACAACTATTAATAAGCAGCAGGTCCCCCAAACTAAAGTGTGACCAAGGTTTTTTTTTATAAATTACTAATCATAAATTATTCATTTTCAACTTTCCAAAATGATCAGGGATTCTGTGTGGATACTGTACTGATTAAAGGAAAAGTTCACCCAAAAATTTAAATTTGCTGATAATTTACTCACCCTCAGGTCCATCCGAGATGTAGATGAGTTTGTTTCTTCATCAGGTTTGGAGAAATGTAGCATTGCATCAGTGTCTCAGCAATGGATGCTCTGCAGTGAATGGGTGCCGTCAGAATGAGAGTCCAAACAGCTGATAAAAACATCACAATAATCCACAAGTAATCCACAGCACTCCAGTCCATCAGTTAACATCTGGAGAAGACAAAAGCTGAAACAAATAAGATGTTTTTAACTAAATTATGAGTCCATAATCCATAATAAGGCTTCCTCCAGTGAAAAAGTGTTCTGGTCTGAATCAGGAGAGAAATCTGCACAGATCAAGCAGCGTTTACAAGCCACTGTTATTGAATATAACCTCTTTTATTTTCCCTTCATTTCCAGCAATGACAGGCCTTGTGGTTCCCCCAATGTAGAAGATGAGTCTCTTCCAGTCATAAGCTCTACAATCTGAACTAGACTGACACCAGCGTTGTCTCCGGGAAAAAGATACAGTTGTCTAATCTTCTGATGAAGAGAATTAGAGACAAAAACATTTGGGAACCTTCTTAAGACGTATCCACTCTATGCACACTGCTTGCCTCTGATTGTGAGTTACTGATTGTGTTACTTAAAGGTTCTTCCAGCCAAAAAAATGCCAAAAGACATATAATTTATCATGAAACATGAGACTTAAGACTGTTACACATGTTTGGCCATGTGTTCTGGTCAATAGACTTTCACCACCAGTAAAAGGGATGTCAAAGATTGTTTACCATATGCTTATAGATCTACATCCCTAAACTGAAATTGTGTTTTTAAAAGCATATATCAGGCTTCTTTTTGATTTAGAGAAACAGAAAATGTCTATTTAGGTTTAGATTTATGAACTGATTACCTCATATATTGACTTATTTAATGACAAAAGCTATATAAGTTATATTTTTAGGTTAAGTACTAATATAAGGAACCATTTGCTATTGTTATTGTTATCTAATTGTGTTTGTTTTTCTGTAAACATTTTGTCATTCATATTAAAGTAGCGACTGTAGATTTTTACATGTAAAAGAGTTCTGTTGTTAAATTTACAAATATTTATTTTCCAACTTGCAAAAAAAAAGTATATGCTTTGTCAACAATAGATCAAGAGGACGAGAAAATCAAGGATTAAGTAGTTTTGTATATTCTGATCATAAAAACAGTGCTGAAGTAATCACTTACACTCTTCACATTAGTGTTAGTATCCCTTCGAAATATTTCTGACATTCATTAACATCTCAAGGCATTTTTTTCTCTTCCACATGGCCATTATTTGCCATCTATTTATTCCTTTCGGTAAACATCAAAGAGTTTGTTTTTCATTTTTTATGTCATTCCAAACAAACCAAAGACAGGGTTGTAGTTAAAAGAATAGTTTTACCTAAAAATGAAAAATTGCTGAAAATGTTTCACCCTCAGACCATCCAAGATTAGGATGAATTTGTTAGAAATGTAGCATTGCATCAGTGTCTCAGCAATAATGAGCAATCATCAGTCCATCAGTTAATTCACAGTGCATTAATGTTAACAAGCACAACTTTTGATTTTTATAATGCATTAGTAAATGTTGAAATTAACATTAACTAAGATTACTGTAATAAATGCTGTAGAAGTGCATTGTCCATTATTAGTTTATGTTAACTAAAGTGTTACCGACATATTAAACCAGGTGTGTTATCAAGTGTATCGAAAAGTGTATTGAGTGATAGAGAGCTTCAAAAACAGGGTTATGCAACAGTCCCCTATATAGAAGATTATAGAAATAGCTTTGGTAAACAGGATCAGTAAATTAAATTCTATTTTGACCATCAAATTTACGTTATACATGAAAACAACATCTGTTTAACAAACACAATGCACAAATCAATGCATGTATGTTCAGGTATGGCTAAACATATTCTATCCGAATGTTTCTCTGTATTGATGAAAACCGTCACCAGACAGTGAATATGATCAATTTATTTGAAGTGAAGAATGCACACATGTAAAGCTTTTTGCTCATTCTCATTAACAGTAAGTTAGAAGAGCCGTTTAAATAAATACATACCTGATATTCTGCCCTTTCCTCACAGGATATGTCATTTTAATCTCAGTAAATAATTAGCTCTAAGGCCACTACTTTGACACGGCCAACAGCCTGCATAAATAAAATGACCATGCGAATGAATGCATATAAAACGTTCTGCTGTGATACCTACCGAGCTGCTAAATATTGTGGACAAAGGGAGCTAAATGGGGTTAAAGGTCTGTGCTATTAAGCTATTATTATTATTATTATTATTTAAACTAAAGTCCGTTTGCCACACTTTTGACAAATCCTTTATTTAGGTACATTATAACTGGGTGTCAAAGGCAGATGGGATACACAGAAAGAGTCCCTTGTGTGTTTCTCAAAACAGAACAGAATGTCTCTCACACACACACACACACGCACGCACACACACACACACACACACACACACACACACACATACACACATGCATTCAGTCAATTTTGGCCACATGTCCACTTTCACATAAATCTGTAGTTCATGTGCTTCTCTGCTGGTTTTTGTTAAGAATATAGACTATGCTCTCATGCTTCCAAACCACTGTCTCAAAAAAATCATTTGTTATAAATCTACCACCGTTTTGACTTTAGTTTTTTTTTTTACTTGCTAATGTCCAATATATTGGGACATTGTGATCAAATATCATAATAGAATGGTGGGAATTCTTAAAGTGTGATATAGAATTTTAAAATGATCTATTGCAGTTAATTTTCCTAAATTTTTTCCTAAATTTTTCCAGTTAATTTTCCTAAATCTAAATGTTCTCATCCACCTATTTTATTCGTAACTTCCCATATCGGTATAGTGAATGTGGGGGAAACAGGAAAAGGAAGTATTGAATTGCATTCTTATCATGTCAAAATGTTCTTTCTGCAAGAAAATACAGAGAGAAATATACAAATAAATAGTGCACGATGTCAAATATCTGAAATATGAGAGTTCATGCACTGGGAGAGATGCATTTGGATGAATCAACGTAAACTGAAGTCTTAATTATGCTGAGACGGTTGCTGGTCGAATGACAAATTAAACTCGTAGCATCTGACAGCAGATGGATAACACACAATACCCAGCAATGGAGGGAAAGTCCACACGCGAATTGTCTTGAGGTCTGTTGTTGGGCCAGCAATCTCCCAGAGCTCTACAGCAGCATGCAGTCTATAGCAGTGATGTAAAAGCATGCCTGCCATCATGTAATATCATTAGCTATATGTTATATTCCATCAAGTAAAACATTTCTGCTAAAACAAAATCAAACACACAAAAACCTGATAAATGTATGTGTGATTAAATATGCAAGGGCATATATGAGGATTATTCCTTAATTAATAGAGGTTGCGGATGTTCTCTCTCATGCATTAATTACACCCTCATTAGCATATCAATTAGATGAATCAGAGATCATGTAATTAAAGCCCAAGTATAGGAGCACCTGCTGCCTCTGTTTATGTTTGTGTATGTGATAGCATGCCTTTGGCTGAGCATACACTTGTCAATCAATCGCCTCTTTATTCTGTTTGCCTCTGATGGAATCTTTCATATTTAGATATTTTAGAACACGGTTAAAACTCGCCTTCCTCAATATTTCCGATGTCCGAACATTCTATTATGACATTCTATAATGTAATACAATAAATAAATTCAGTTCAATAATAATTATTTTGTGATTTTCAAGGTATGCGCCATAGCTTCACAAAAGAACACATTTTTATTTGTTTTTGTGAGTTTAGCACACAAAATCGAATAAAATCTAAAATACTTTTTAGCTCATGATCAGCAGTCCTCATCACTTCTGGTATGGGTCCATCTGCTGGCCACAAGATGTTTGAGCAACACAATTCTGATGATTGTTTGTGACTATCACATTGCAGTTACATAAAATGAAAGTCCATTTTCAAATGTAACAACTGTAGCCAGTATTATTGTATCATCGTTAATTTGGCATCAAGGGTGATTTCAAACACGTAATAAACTGACCGTTACAAATACTAAATTGAAAGTAAAATTACAAATTCTTGTGAGAAATTCTGGGGTAAGATGGCCCTCATATATACATTATTTGAACGGTCAATAATGTAAAATACTAAATCAACAATTCTATTTATTATTGTTTATTATAATTTAGTAAAATTGTCAAATGGTTGACAGACAAAGCAGAATCCAGAGATTTATCCTGTGACTTAAGTCTTAAGTACAGGCATATTTAACTGTCCAAATTTTAATTAAAGATATGTCACATGTTCTGTAAAAAAAAAAAAAAATAGCTGTTATTCTTTACAAATCCCAAAACATGAACGTGTCCACAAATACATCATTACAGTTTTTTACGATTGCTTACACACTAAAATTAAACTTTTCCAACAATTAGCAAAACCTTACACTCAAGGAGCAAAACACAAGGCTAGATTTGCACAACTGTAAGCACATTGTCAGCTTCACACTATTTGCAAAACATTACACACAGTGACAAAGAGACACAAAACTCTTTGATCATGGTTTAGATCTTTTTTTATTTTTATTTGCTTTAATAGGATTTCACAGTAAGTGGTACATTTTCAAAACACAAATCCAACCTGATCACACTTGTAATTTCGCTAGTCATTCTTTTAAAATCACCAGAACACAACAGTATGATCTTCTTTCAGTTCAGTACTTCTGATAAGCAGTTCATTCAATAACAAGCAATGCAAGCAATAAAATCACCCCTGATGCTGAATGAATGTTACTGTGTTGAACTACAGTATTTACACTTATTATCCAAGTAAACATACAAGTAAAATATGATCAACAAACACATGAAATCATGTGCAGGAAAAATATTTGATTTTACACTATTTTACAACAATACTGTGGTTTGGTTTGAAAATCACCTCATCAACATAAACAACAAAAACTTGATGATTCACAGCATCCTCTGAAAGAGATCATTTGGTTAGCTCTTTTACCAAGAACAGTTGACACTGTTAGTCTGCAGTACAGTACTGTAAATAGCATGAGTACCACATATGTAAAAACTGAACATATACAGTACACCACATAGCGCTGTACCCGAACATATTCTGCACATGGCTGTTTCACTCAGGTATTGTTTCTGATTGACTGATGCCACATTCCGTTTTAATTGTTCTCTTTGATAATCTCAGAGTTTACTACTGTAGATGACAAAAAAAAAAAAGTGTGACAGTTAGACTTATTGTTTTTTTTGGTGAAATGTTCTGATGATGGATCTGATAGTTCCAGCCTACCCTGCTCCATGTTTGCACATTGCAAATGCACACACTCATTTCTACTTATATGGTATCCAATTGTGATCACCAGAAAAACAATATGTGAGACGGAACTCATGGTAAGGGCCATAAGGGATGTTATTATAAGGACACAACTCTCCCAGAATCAATGAAGCCATGAGGCTGGAGTACTCTGAGCAAA